TGAGCTAAAGGAAGAAACTTTTACAGATCTAAATGAATTCAAGTATTTCTTTCGTATCGTGGTATAAAGCGGCTTCGACTAAGTTTTATTGTATACATTATGCCAATCATTATTTGTAATATTATATTTCATATGCATTTTTTTTTTTTTATAATTTTGCAAAATGTATAAATATTCAATGTTGCATTGAAAAAAGTTTTTAATTGAACAGTCGTAGGATTTACGGTATAATTATAATTATAATTTACGTACTAATGTCCTAAAAAACCACGCGTACCAGTTGTTGTAAACATTAAAAACTGATTATCAAAAATGTCATATTTTATTTTTCATTGCAGATGGTTTCGACGAAAAATTTGCAGGTTTTGTCATTTCAATGTATTGAACGATGGACGACAACGAAATGACTATATTTATAAATAAAACTTCAAGCGTTTCAAAATGATGTATATTATATTGGTGTAAAATGTTTATGAAAGGAAAAAATTGACGTGTTAGTACTATTGAATGTTAAAATTCCGATAATTTCAAACCACGGATAATCGGTAAATATAATAGATAATTATTGTCCCGCAACAATAACCGAAGGAAAAATAATATCAAGCGATTCATGGCGGTAATTTGAATTGATAATAACTGATGATAAAAGAAAAACTTTTTAATTTATTCCGATTGATGATTGAACTCTTGACGGTTAACAAGTTGACATTTTGACGGTTGGCATACACCGAATAATGGAACTAGAAAACTTGTGCAAGTTAACTCGTTAATAGTTGTTTACCCTTGCACATTAAATTCCGGTAAAAAAAGTTGAACTTCGCTTATTTATTTATTTATTTTCGATTTTTCCGGCCGATGTGAAAACGAGACTTTTACGGAGCGGTTTTTCGATCGCTTGCACATAAACAAAAATGGATGGTTTTTTTTCCCAGTGTACTATTTAATAGACCAACGATAAATATTTGTAACTTCGAACGAAGATTTACCCGCAGTAAAGTTACAGTACGTCACATTTGTTCGGAAGAAATCGAGACTTTTATCACGTTCGATTTGTTCACGAGGAATTTTAATTATACGTACACGGTTTTTCGATATTTCGGACACAAACTATTTGGCTCGCAATCAAGTCACGGCGTGCAAATGACCTTTTGACAATACCTCGTCACTCAGCCGACGGTACCACGAATGTGTACGCTTCACGTGGATTTGTCGATGTTTCTCCAACCATGCAGGGTCGTGTCAAAACAACTTATGACGAAAATCTAAACGATAGAACCGCACAAAACGCGCACGTAATGCCACCCGAATTTTAGTTTACTGTCCGCAAATAGGTTACGCGCAGGATGTTAATCCGAATCGGTTAAATCATCCTCGTAGGTCTTCTCGCACGTTCGTTATCGCATAATTTGTTTTCCCGTTGTGCTCGCAGCGATAATAAACTATGATACTCCGGAAAATTCGCACTTGGAATGAAATTCAGTTATCCCGTTCCGGGTTTTGCAGTGTCGGTGCGAGGATTTTTTTTTTAAAGTTCCAGTCTTTCAGACTAAAACAAAAAAGGAAGGACGATGAATGAATTAAAAATCCCTCGGTACATGGCCTCGTGGGAAATCACAGTTGCCCTCGAAAAAAAAAAAACGGATTTTTATTTTTTATTTTATTTCATTTTGGAGGTTGGTTTTATCTTTGTTACATTATTTACCTATGGAATTCTGTTCTGCAGAAAACGCGCACCGCTCGCACAATGCCAGCCCGTGTAGTAATTACCCAATGTAATGACACCCATCCAACTCTCTTTTTTTTCCCTCCCAACAAGTGTATATAATTTGGACTTCATCTGAAATTGAATATACAAAGTCATCAACGAATGGACGGGATTTACACAAAGAGTTATCTGACCGCAAAATTATATCTCGGGGAGTATATTATACGTATACGGGAAAACCAAGGTTTTTTTTTCTTTTACGAACGCCTATTATATACCTACGATTATATTTTATTCCATAATATTTTTGCAAAAGGGTCTGAAAGAAGGGACTCATGTTGTTGATAAAATAATAAAATAGAACAATAGTAACGAGATTATACAGAAATTGAGTTGCAACAACCATGGCGTTCTAATCTTCAGATCGTTTCTATACATGTTATATTTATTTGAAACGTAATAATTGCATTTTGCATACGGCGCTATTATCACTACAAAACAAATACAGTCATCATAACGTTCGAAGATTAAAACGAAATGGTCACCGATAGATACTAATAAATATATGTACGGCGTTTATATGTTTATAATTACGTTGACTCGTTATATTGAATATACTTGTGTGTAAATATTTGAAAATATTTCAACAACTATAAAAGTATAAAAATTGATCGACAAAGCCAAAAAGTTATCATCGCTGGCAATTTCCAGGGGACGAGAAATCTATTAAAACTTTTGCCACCGATAGCGTCATATTTCTACGATGGTCTGAATGAACATCATTTTCATTAAAAGACAGTTTTTGCGACGACAACATGGTCGACATAACAATACATTTTTCAAAAAGTAATCGTTATTCGCGATGGAATATTTTTTCGCACATTCGAGTTTCTCCGTTTGTGACATAATTAGTGGATTCAAATAATTTTAGTATAAAGGTAGAGTTAATTAAACACTTATTTATAGTTGTATAACTAATGTGACCACCTACATTAAGATTTGGATTTACATCCGTTTGAATAATAATATCACACAGATAGGGGTAAAAGTTTTGTGTTAAGCTATACACCTAAATTTGGCGACACGTCGTTGTTAACACACAAAACTACAAGGTCGTATTATCCAAAATGTACACACACACACACACACACACACACACACACACATAGAGCCACAGTTAAGTTTATTATATGTATAAGCTGGTGTGTGTAAACGAGATGTGGGAGACCGAATCTATATAGTTGAGACAAGGCTTAGGCAAAGAAGAATATAACAATTTATACGTGTACATAAGATTTAATTAAAACTATCACATGCATTTGGTGTAAATGTCTACTTGGAAAAAATAACAACTAAAAATAAATAATGATTTCTATTAATATTTTTGATGATATAAGTAGAAATGATTCGTAACGTTAAACACTAAATTTTTGAGTGAGTTTAAGTGCATTCACGAAAAAATGAATTTCGTCTACTGTAATTATACAGTGTATATATATATATAATTTAATTATTTTTCATAATAACATTGAACTATTTGAACTTTTGATCTTTTAAATGGTAACCTTAATTTTTAATTTAATATTCTAATGCACAAAAATCAAACAGTGAACTAATATTATAGTTAATTATTTGCTGATATTAGATATTTATAAAGAACTATTCGATTCCGGACTATAAAGAAAAAATTATTGATTTCTTGGGGATAGCTGATCTCATCACAAATATTTAGATTACCAACCATAGATACTCAAAATACCATATATACAGTAAAAAAATCCTTATAACATAATAACTATTGTAATAAAATAACTATTGATGGCCAATGAACTATTTGTATTTGAAGCCTTAAGTTTATAAAAATAAAATAAAAACTAAGAAAATATTTATGCATGAGTGGAGTGCACAAAAGGCACGAATATTTTGCGAAATATCCCTGCGCCCAGGCTCAGATCTTTGTCTTATCTACCTATAAAGCATATCAATCACAATTACTCTAAGTGTTGAAAGATATCAGGACCCTTATAGGATTCGTATAATTCGAAACGATTAAAAATTATATAAATGCCGAGAAAAAATGGTTTTTCATTATCCATTCCACTGAGTATTAAGCAGAAATTTGTACATTTTAATCGGTTCGCTATTTGGTTTTCATGTATAAAAATGTTCAATCATGACCGATAAAGTGCATGTTTGACATCCAAAACTCATAATATTGTAACACGCACATTGACCGTATACTATAATATTTGAACTGTAGCATACAATAATCACTATTAAGTCAGTATGATATTGACACGATTGCGTTATTAATCGGGGAGTATCATTGGATTGCATGGAATAATTATATAGTTATGATACTCGAGTTAAGTTTTGATAACGTGTTGATTACATTATCTGCTTTTTATATTTCATGCATTCATATTTGAATCAGGTGCTGTGAACAATTTGAAAGATTCTGTGACTGAATATCGAATGCAGAAAATTGCATTATCCCGTACACACACACACACACACACACATATATATATATATATACATAATAGTCTTTTTTATGTTTCGGTGCGAATCCGATTGCGAATATGTATTTGTTTTTCTATCAGACGTTTTCTAGTCCGATTGGATCACATTTCACAGTCGTGAATACCGTCTCATATCCATGCCTACACATAGTAATATAATATTCACGATCGAAATAAGAATGATGAAGATTATTATTATTATCGTTATTATTATCAGTTGCTGTGCATTAGGGATGAGGAGGGGGGGAAACGCGCTTGCGTGAAGATTGGCCCTCGGATTTATAATGTGGATCACGGATTGCGTCCCTGTGGACGGAACCTCCACGATTTGATATAGGATATCCGGTATAATATTTCGCCGAGTTTATTACGTTGTCGGTGGGAGCCCGAGTTGGAGGTTTACTGTACAGCAGCAGGTCGATAAGCTATTATATATGGAGGGAAGGGGCAACTCCGTAGAGAACGAGATACTAATAAAATATCGTAGAAAAATTGGCCAACTTTTGTTATCGTTGCAGAAGGTATGTAGGGTGTATACGTCCATGTATATGTATACAGATACACGCAAGAAATTTATATTGCCCGTGATTGGGTTAGGAAAACATTATTGTCGACGGTAACCGCGGTATATAACATAATAATATATAATAGTATGTCGGTAATAATATATGACGTGCGGCACGTGGAGGAGGAAATAGAGAGTGAGTGAGTAAGTGAAGAGGAGAAAAATAATAATATGAAAAAAAGGACAAAAACCAAATTACTTTACTTACCAGTCGTTTCCGGTTTTTGATAAGTTTTGCCTTTTCCTACCGGTCTGATGTGGTTTCGGTTCGGCCACTAGGTTAACGTCTGAAAAAAAATCGTGAAACAGACACAAAAATATATATAAGTCTGTCTCCAAAACACGGTTTCGAGATGATGTACTAAAGTCAAAAAGACTTAGACGTTTAGTTTAAACAAAAACAAAAAAAAAAAAATAAAAAAAATAAAAAAAATACTGCAAGAATAACATAACAAAACAAATATTATGTGCATGTATTATACTCCAATCATTTATGATATAGTGCGAGCAATAAATACAAAATAAAAAAAAATATACTATTCATTCTATGCGTATTTGTCAAAAGAATTCTAACATAAAAAAAAAAAAAAATGTTATTCGTTTTTAATTTATTTCAAGTACATCTCATGTTTATAAAACGTTAAAAAGTATAAAATTCAAAGATTTATATGGTTCACCCAAGATTTAATATACTACCAACATTAAATTTTCAATTTATCTAAAAGTTCAAATGGATGAATTTGCCGACAATTATTATTTACAATTAAAAATAAAAAAAAATCTCGCCACATTAAGTTGAGGTTAAATATATTTTGTCTGTTTCTAGGGATGATGTTGGCTCTGCTTGTAACAGTACAGAGTTTGGTATCTCATTACAATATTTTCGTTTATTATCTACTTAGCGAAATCGTTTACATAAAAGCTTTGAAAATGATAAAAAAAATTATCATACTGCTAGAAAAAAATTCCCATATATAAAATGATGATATAAAGGAGTATAGTGAAGGGGTGGCAAATCTTTTTTTGGGCCAAGTGCCAAATTTTTCCTTTCAAGGTTTTGAAAATTGTTTACGTGCCCAAAGGAAATTATATTTTCTAAGAATAAAAATAAAATTACAGACTCATTACATTATTTTTATTAAGTAAGTACATATATTTTTTTTAAAATTAATAAATTATGTTTTATTAGGTATCTTTAAATTTGGTGTTTTATATACAGTTATTTTACTCTGTTTCTTAATGGATATAGTTTTTATTTCAGGAATGCACATTGTAATATTTAGTGAAACACAAGCCATAATTGTTTCATTGGTCAAATCATTTCTTTCCTTCTATTTAATTAAATTCGTTACGGAGAATAAGCTTTCATAAGCATAAACTGACGAAAAAATTGAAAGTATAAGTAATATTATAATTTTTAAAATGTGTTTGATTTGTTTATTCGAATTTCTTATAACTAAAATTGTATAAACACTGTTATTTTTTTTTTTTTTTTAGTGTACAATTTTTAATAATTTCAATTTTTTTTGCGTTCTATTGAAATTTGGTCAATAGGTTTGTCATTCCTGATATACTATATTTATAAGTTTCGTAAGACAGAGGGAGTGGTGACGTTTCACGTTATGTCAATATTGAATGTCGGTTAATGTTTAAGGTCAAATGAGTGCGACGGTCTTGCGTTCGCTAGTGGAGATGTAGATATGCACATGTATAATACTCACCTTTAATCACGTCCGCTTAAAATCAACAATAGATATTTCGCATTTTAAACCAAAATCACGAAAACTGCTGTGCACATTATACGTGCACATTTACCTATCTAAATATTTTTATTTTCAGCCGTCGCAAAAGTTTTATGAAAATCCCTTTGGTAAACATCCGTTTAACACGAAACGTCTTGTTTTTTTAATTAAATTATACGTTATGAGTATGTTGGGCACGGTCGACTTATCGTCGTCATTGCTTTTCCCCTTAAAACCACCTTGATACTTCCTCCCTTCGGTAGACGTACAACGACACATATCCTCTGAAGAAAATCAACGGCAAACACCGATTCATAGAAGGAAAACGAAGAATTCGATAAATGTGCTCGGGGGCTATTGGCCTTTTTGGATATTTTGGAAAATTCCGTAAAATCGTTGACGTATGAACCCCAAAAATGATTTTACAGAATATATAATATGTACGGTATCAACGGATGACTCGTGAGAACGTTGATATTTAGAATTAAAAAAAAAAAAATTTTCATCCCACCCGGAATGTTTCCATACCCATCTGTATATAATACACGAAGACCGAATAATTTAATACTTTTGTAAAAAGCCCTATGCACCGTAAAATGCACATAGATTACAGCTGACTGGTGTTCACCACTCGTCGGGATTGTTCGATAAAAAATATTTCTGAATAAAAAATATAAATCTCCCTAAATATATATATATATGTATAAATAAAAATGAGCAAGATCGTCGGGCGACGCGTTATTTGCACGGCGTCGCGGAAAATCGTATACGGCTGTAAATGCGAGGAGAAACCGTAAAAACTTATTTAACATTGTAATAAATTTGCCAGTATTATTACGAGGTCTTTAACGTTCTTATGTATGAGCTGATTTTCATTGAAACAAAAGAATATTATAATATGTATAAATAAACGGTGACGAAGAGAAGGGAAAGTAAGTGGGCATTAAGAAAAAATTCAAAGGATTACGAGGTTTTTTTTACGAACCTTTGGTAATAATGCGGAAATAAAAACTAGGAGGAGACCGTCATGTAATTTCACATCTCATTCTGATAATTCTTTGAACCGCGTACACGAACTGCTTTAAACAGCATATACGTAATTGTAAATTCAAGCGTCTGTTAAACCCATTTAAGTATACAAGAGCATCAAATCCCTTTTCCAGGAGTCCTCCTGCAAGAGACAGCAAAACATCAAAGTGTATACATATTATTATAATATTTTTTTTCCTTGGAACCGTAATTGAAATGTTTGTTTGTTTCCCCCTTTACTCATTAATATGCATTTTCTTTTAATTAATTAAACAACCTAATCAAAAAATAAAAGGGTCACGTTATAATATAATACTGTTACGACAAAAAATAATAAAACTGCAGGGCTTGTGAAGTAACAAGTGAACACGTGATTTTACAATCAAAACCGATGGACTTACAATTCTCGCAACGTGAAAGGAGACCGCGTTTATAACTTTGTATTTCGAATCGGTTGTGTTAATATTTGCTATAAGATAGAACGAAAAAAATAAATAAACCAATGGGTCTTGCGTTTCTACACTCGTTTGTTTCGAGGAATTAACCAGCTCCGACTTAAGTTTAATGCTGTGTTCAAGTAATACCACAACTATTACGTAGTACTTAAGGAGATTTTAGTAAGTCACGCATACATTTTGAGTTACCACACCACTGTAAACAATCGAAATCACACAGAAAACGACATAAATGTTTACCTTCTACTTTTGTAGTAAGTATACTGGTATATTGTTTAAGAACATAATCAAATCTCAATGTTCACCTAGTCCCAGTGGTTAAATTATTTTCATAATTTATTCTTACACGTAAGTATGCGCAATGTATACGCAGAATCTTCTATTCTAACAGTACGTTAGTAAATATATTGTAAATAATAATAAAACTGGTACGAAAAAAAATAATAAAAACGACTAAAATGCGTTTAAGTATCTAAAAATCCGACAGTGTAGCCCTCGTAATGTTAACATACCACTACATAATATTACCATCGAAGGTTTCATGCTATTTTTCCACGGTCAGCCAAATGACAAATCGACGTACACGATCGTGTCTGTGATTCGAAATAATAATTACTTTAACACGGCCATTAACGGTCCAATTATTCATGTGGAAATTGGCTCGAAGTTCAATCTAGTTTTTCAATTTGACCGAAAACGATAATAGCGGTCATCAATAATAATATTGTGCACGTAGTAATTAATTGTTTGGTGGTAGTAAACAAATGTTGGAAATATGGATTAAACAATGTGTCGGACATTCGAATAATTCGGCGGTCCGTATGCTAAAAGAAAATCGCTTGGGCGAATATAAAAAAATAAAAAAACACGTGCACGAGCCGCTGAGGAGGCGAATGAACGTGTTTTCTCGTGACTTTAGCAACAAGTATTTTTGACTGCAGAAAACCCGCACAAAAGGTCGAATCCAATGAAATACGTGTCCGTGTAAGATTTGTGCAAAAGTTGTCGACGAATTATTACAAGTGCGCTTAGACTAGAGGACCACCAACGTTACCACATGTGCATTAAATAAAACAAAACAATACTTAGATGTTTTCGATATATAAATAAAAAAAAAATAAAATTAAAAAAATCTACCTTAGAGAGTCGTAGACGAATATTAATAGTGCATAGGCTTGGACACTAAACACGGAAAATCAAGAGAAACAGTGTCGAATCGGCGTTGAAAGCCGTTTAAAAAATGCTAACAGATTTGCGGTCCACCGATTTGAGCTCACAAAAATCGTACGCCAACATTTCGCACGTAAAACTCGCAAAATGTGTAAATCCAAACCCCCGTTTCTTGCTGTATCGCAACGAGCATGAACTGAAAACGCAGGGAAACTCCGTTGCAAAAATGATTCTAAAACCGCGAAATCGGTACCATTTATGTAAGGATTCTGTGTCACTTTTGCTGGAGTATGAAAATCTCTTTTCGTTACAACAAGCAAAAAACGTCTACGAACTGGGCGCTCTGACTTTTGCAATTCTCGAGACTCACGTCGTCGGTGGAGAGAACGTTTTATTCGCGTACCGAACCGAACATTAAGTGACCGTCATAAGTAAAACGTTACGAAAATTGGATCTTCCGAGTAATTGTTCCTACCGTGCGCGGTGTAAGCATTGAAACGCCATCAGGTTCACCGCGAATACCTATAAACTATCACGTATAATGTGTGATTTATGACTCGTAAGTATATGTTCGGAGTGTCGTGCAATATTATGATTTGTTGGCCACGACGAATTTTCGCCGTTCGCCTTTTTACCTCCCTCCCACATATTTGGCTCGGATTAAGCACGGTACATTAATTTTCAATGAACACGTGTATCGGTCATTTGACCTTTTGATGAACAGCGTTTTTCGTCTTATCGAGGTGTCTCCGCGACGGACCGAGGAAACGCCTGACAAACGAGAAAATAAAAACCTGGCATAGAAAAAAAAAAAGAACAAACAACGAAACCGTCATTTCATTTATTTATTTATTATTATTTCTCTTTTTTTTTCATCCCCGTGCCGTTCTG